GAGTATTTTGCCTCTACTTTCTCCAAATGTAACTCTTCATTACTGCAATAACATTGTTCCAATGCCGAATTATAATGGGCACATTTACTTTTTCCATAACCCCAATGTAGTTGATTAATTTATTTATATTAGTCTTGATAGGTTGACCTTTGTAATTCCATTTGACTTCATATTTCTATTCAGCAGTCCTTCTCCTATTCACCTAAGCTATCAATGTCAATCCTCTTGTTACTTGATTTTCTTTTTGTTGAATTTACTGGTCATTCGTGTTAATGCTAGGATTAGTATTGCTAGGTTTGTTGAGATCGGCACTCCTTTGAGAATCCATTTACCTACAAAAGTAGGAAAAACAAAATAAATAATAAGTAACAATATAGAAAAATAAGGCATATAATAAGTAACTGTAATATAGAAAATTAAAGTACACAAAACAAGCAACCTACATGTTTAAGTTGTTTTTTTTTCTTTTTCTTATGTGTTCCTTATGTTTTCTCTCCTTCTTTGCTCCAATTCCTTTATTTTTTTAAAATCTAAATACCTTCATTGTGATCATTTCTTATTAAAAAGGCTTCATCTTAAATGAAGTAGTTTTCAAATGATGTCCCCACAAATAGATCATTTTCAACTGTATAATTATTCATATCTTCATTATTTTATTGCTTAGTAAAATAATGGACCAACTTACTTTAACTAGATCAGGAATAAAGTCTTGTGAAGCAAAAATAAAAGGCTCATATTTATAACCTTCTCTATTAAGATCCACCATTAAGAATCCCAAGTTATCAAATTTGAGACTATTTTTTTCATCAACCTACTTACAACCAAAAATTAAAACTTGAAATTTGATGTAATGTAACTCCTAGATATGCTCAATTACCCCAAAGTATGACATTTTTGCATATAAAGGATTTTTTTAGTATTAGATATATGCAATGCATGGGCTATAAGAGTTATACCACTATTTTGCATTCTTCATCCCATGTTTTAATCTCATTAAATGTGTCCCTTCTTTACAAATAGGACATTCGAGTTTTCCTTTGATACTACACCCTGATAAATTACCATATGTTGGAAAATCATTGATTGAACTAAACAACAATGCTTTCAAATTGAACCTTTCTTCTTTGTATTCATCACTCACCTCAAAACCATTCTGCCATAACAATTTCATATCCTCAATTAAAGGAGCCAAATATATGTCTATATCATTCTAAAGTCAGGGTAATCGAGATAATTTTTTTTCCATTGAAAAAAGTTAGCTAGATGTCGAAGCTTCCCATCTTTGATTTGTTCATCTGCATGCCATGTCAAAATTTTCACATCTTCTACACTACTATATAGGCATCTAAATCTATGTACAATAGGAAAGTACTATAATGCCTTCTTTAGACTCTTCTCGTTCTCTTTGTAGCATGAGGCATTACATTTAGGACACTTTATTAATTATGCATATTGTAACATCCTAAATTTCTAATCCTATATTAATGATTGATTAGAAGTTGAATTAGTAATTTAATGTAGGATTAGAGTTTTGTATAGTGAATTAATATTTTAACCTATTAGGATGATATTTGAACAGATGCAAGCAGAAAAGCAAAATCATGAAGCAGAGCATGTGAGCATAGTGAGGATTTTCCTCACTGTGTCATGCGCCATAGTGGGGGATAGATGCACTGCAGCACATGGTATAGAACTTTGATTAATAAAGATATGTCCAACTTATGAAAGACAGAAGGGAGAATAAGAGGGAGTAGTTCAGGCATGGAAAAGAGTAGGGAATGTGTTAGGGCAAGTGAAATTAGAAGCAAGACAATGTTTTTGACCTATTACTTATCAAATAATCTTGTACTGCCTAAACCTCCGATTCTACCCTACTTTCTCTTAGTTTTAACTATTGAGAAATTGAAATTAGGAGTTTTAATGAGTTGATTTCTTATTCTATAGTCATAGAAAGGCTGTCTAAAACTATACTAGTACTTTATGACTAGTTTGAGTTGGAACGATAAAGCTTTGAAGCTGTAGGCAATATTTACCCTAATCTAGAGAGTAGTGAGAGAAATTTGGCTAGAAAAGGTTAAAGCTTGTAATTAGGGTTAATCAATGGTAATACATCTAACCGAGTGTAAATTATGGAAATGATAGCAATTGGAAGGTTAATTGTGATAATTGGCACTTTTTATCAATAGTGAAATTGACTTTGAATGCCAATTTATATAGATTCTAGTGTGTGACGAGTAGATAAGCTGAAAGAGATTCGAGTAAGAAAGTTACATGGGTAAACCTTTCTATCAGACAGAAGGGTTAAGGCAACCATATAGTTTATTATATTTATTAACTATTATAACTATGTAGAAGTAAATATAAAATGAGAAAATTGATGTTTTATGAGTTTTATGCATGATTTGTTATTGAAAATGGTTTTAGTAGGAACATTGGTTTGTGAAATTAAATCTGAAAGGTTAATTGATTTAAATTGATATATGTATTTGTTATGACATTTTATACTATGGAAATGTGAAGGAAAGTAGTGATAATTATGAAAAAAGCATGATCATAGGGAGTGGGAGTTCACCCAAGATATGTGGGGATGTGTGTGTGTGGAGAAGTGAGTGAAAAATCCATATGATTAGGCTGGCATAATGGGATATCTGGTGTAGCATCATATAGGTTGTTACCATAGGTAATACAGTACAACATATTATAAGACTATTATCATAAGACATTCGGGTAGTCTGACAACTCTCTAGTACCTGTTAGGGTGCGATTAGGAGTTAACAACACTTCTATCACAAGTATGTGAAGAGGGAAACCATAATCTATAGGTGAGTTAGATTACCTTTGGCCAGGTATTTCTACCACTCAAAGTGTACTTGGGTCAACAAGTGATTGATCCAAGAAAGCCTATGATTTCGTGTCAGGGAGCATTGGAGGTTTGGTGGCTAGATGATCATGCTAGTGTGTATATGTGTGGAATTCCTTTGAAAAGATGAAATTTTCTCATACTTTACTATATATTTGATATTACTTTAGTTTTATTTCTTTGACATGGTTATTTATGATAATAAGTATTAAATTGAATTTGTAGACTGTTAGCTACGAATATGTATAAGTTGCTATAGGATTCAGTATGTGTGCATAAAATTGTGTTTATAGTAAATGTTGTGTTTTAGTGATTTTGTGCTCTTTAGTCCTTTGTAAATGCGTGAATGATAAAACGATTGAATGGGCTAGTGGACGATTGTATCTATGTGAATATGTGATGCTTGAAGGTGATGGATGGTGATTTGGCCTTGTATTAGATTAAAGAAATGAAAATTTGATTTGGCCAAAAAGTGTGAAATGGGCAGTTTACAGGCCAAATATATGTATGTGAGTTATATTGTGCATGTGTATCGTCAATTAGGTGTGTATTGTCTACTTAGACATGGTCAAGGCCCAAAAAGTGGCTAATGATATTTGATTTCCAATTGAGACACTTAAGTGACAAAATTTTGACAATAAACAATCAAAATACTTTGTGTGTCTAATTTTTAATAAAAATATCGGATTAAGATGAAACTAGTGTCATTAGTTAGATTTTCAAATAAGCTTCATGTGGGTGCTTGAATCACCCTAATTAGACATTGGATGTGGAAATGGCGCACATCTAAATTTAGCATCAGAAACTACAGAAATAACAGCAATTTCAGGGGGGTGTATGTGTGTTACAACGCATGTAGCTGCATGCCGTGGCATATGGCATAGAGCGAATGACTGTGATCTCTGTGCCACATATTACAGCACATGTCACATGAGTCGTGGCACATAGTGCCAAATTTCACTTTGTTTTCTTGTGTTGCATATGTTCTCTTGATCTTTAATGTACTTAGGCCAAATGCTTCCGCTATGTATGGGGTTTTATAACCCGAGTGATTTATAAAAGGATTTTCTAAATTTTTTTTCTTGGGATCCCAAGGTTTTTAAAGTTTTTTAAAAAAATGATTTTTGAATTGATTAGGATTGATTGTAGTGGAGTATATGGTGATGTCAGTAAGGGCATTACAGTTAAGTTAGTATCAGTTTCTCGAGTTTTGAGATCTGGTCTTTCTTATTGCTTGTTGCATTCATCCTAGCTTTTGGCAACTTATATATTGTTTATTGCACCTATTCTTTCCCCTTTTGCTTAACTTTCCTTATTTTATCCTTAGGAGGGGAGAAAATGAGAAGAAGAGGTACTTGAGCTTCATGTAGCACTCGAGTATCATGGCGTCTTGTAGAGGATGAATCTGTGCCTGAGGTTCAATCGAATGTGCCTCAACAAGCTGATAGAAGAGATGGCTTATTAGAAGAGCTAAGAGATATGATGATTGACATTTGATAGATAGTGTGAGATCATAATGTTTTATTGAGGGGAAGAGATCAAGCGAAAGAAAGAGAAGCTCAAGAGAGGCCAATATCAAAAGAAGCTCATAGCAAACCTAAGCCGCCTTAAGCTTCAAGTAGTAGACAAACTATGGGAGTTGCTACAGATCTGTCTATCGATCGAGCTTGGAAAATATATGTGAGGTTCAATCCACCTACATTTGACAACAGCATGAGAGAAGGAGAAGCCAATCAGTGGATTGAGCACCTCAAGACAATATTCAAGTTGGTAACCTGCACTTTAGAGTAGAAAGTGACTTTAGCCACGGTCCAGCTAGTCGGAGTAGTTAAGAGATGGTGGGATTCAATGAGGCCATCTAGTGGCGTAAGGTACTCTTGGAAAGAGTTTAAGAGGGTATTCTCTAATTATTATTTTCTGACATCCTTTCGTACGGGAAAAGAGAAGGAGTTCCATGCATTTAAGCAAGGGGACTTGGATGAAGAGGAACTTATCAAGAGATTCAATAATTTATTAGCCTATTCCATGTATCTGTAGTACCACAATGACACGAAGTGGAAGGTAGAGAAATTTTTAGAAAAGATGCATCTAGAATATAGGTAACAGATTACTTTGTTTCGACATCGCTACTTATGAGGATATGTGTCATAAGCTAAGAATAGCTGCGAAGAGAGGTAAGGAAGTAGAGGTTGAGAAGAAGAGGGATAGTATAGGAAGATTTATACTGTCTTTTTGTCCATCAATTGGTGTGTCAAAGAAGCCCATTTACAGCTTGAGCAGTTCTGGAGCTTCAAGGAAGATAGGTTTTTCTAGAGGTTCTCAAACCCAATCAGTGTAAAGAAGGTTAATGTAAAGGAATACTGAGGTCAAAATTGGGCCTCAACAACCTTTAAGGCAACCCTTGAATATACCAACTCCTACCTTTAGCACTGGAAGGTCATCCCAGTGTAGTATTTATGGCAAATTTCATGTGAGGAGATATTGGTCCTGTTTTAAGTATAGGAAGTTGGGTCATATTGCTAAGTATTGTCCTGAAGGTGGAATTGAGACAATAGAGTAGTGATCAATAGTTCTGGGATGAGTATTTACTGTGACTCAAGAAGAGGCTAGGGCATCTCTAAATCTAATTAAAGGTATTATTTCTATCTACGGTAATAGAATAGAAGCATTGTTTGATTAGGGAGCTACACATTCTTTTATCTCTGAAGAATGCGTAGGTAGATTGAAACTAGAGTTGAAAGAGTTTCTTGCATTGATTAAAGTGACGACACCTTCTAGATCCTTGAGTATTACTAGCAAAGCGTGTCATAAAGTTGAGATTGTATTTGAGGATCGAATATCTATGATCAACTTGATTTGCATTCCCCTGAAAGGGATTGATGTGATGGTCTGCATGGATTGGCTAGCAGCTAGTAATGCTATACTAGATTATGTTAGAAAGCTAGTGTCTTTGCTAGTATTATCGGCAGGAACTAGTTCTACTGAGCAGCTCAGATTTTTATCAATTATGCAAGCTGAGAAATTAATCAAAGAAGGGTATGATGATTACATGATGATTTTTGCAGTTAGCAGTGTTTATGATAAGGGTATTGAGAAGATTGGAGTAGTAAGTGAATTTCTTAAGGTATTTTCTGAGAAGATGTCAAGATTACCTTTGAAAAGAGAAGTTGAATTCTTAATAGATTTGGTTCTTGGTACAAAACTAATTTCTAAAGCTCCATGTTCAATGTCACCCTCAGAGTTGAGTGAGTTGAAGAGGCAGATTAAAGATTTGCTTGATAAGGGTTTCATTAAGCCGAGCATATCACCTTAGGGTTTGTCGATGTTATTTGTGAGAAAGAAGGATGGCAGTTTGCAACTGTACATTGACTATCGACAGTTGAACAAGGTGAGGATGAAGAATAAGTACCTTTTGCCCAGGATCAATGATTTGTTAGATTAGCTGATTGGAGCCTCAGTCTTTTCCAAGATTGACTTGAGGTCAGGGTACCATCAGTTAAGGGTCTCTAAGAAAGATATACCTAAGATGGCCTTTTGTATGCGTTATGGGCATTATGAGTTCCTTGTCATGCCATTTGGTCTAACCAATGCACTTGCAGTTTTCATGGATTACATGAACTGTATTTTTATGATCATATTTAGACTAATTTGTTGTGGTTTTCATTGATGACATTTTAGTGTATTCGGAAGATGAGGAGCAACATGCTAAACATCTCAGGATTGTCGTTTAGATTCTGAAAGAGAATAAGCTATATGCCAAGCTCAGTAAATGTAAGTTTTAGCTAAGGGAGGTTAGATTTCTAGGCTATGTGGTATCAGTAGATGAGATTTCTATTAATCCATATAAAATTGATGTTGTGTTGAAATGGGGGCGACCTAGCTCAGTTAAAAAGATTTAAAATTTTCTAGGATTAGTTAGATATTATCGAAGGTTTATCTAAGGTTTCTCTTAGATTGCTTCTCCGTTGATGAAATTGACTCGAAAAGATCAATCTTTTGTTTAGGATGATAGGTGTGAGACTTCATTTTAGAAGCTGATACATTGAGCAAGAGGACGCTACATATAGCTAGTTTAATGGTCCGAGAGCATAATCTAATGGAGTCTTTTATTGATTCTTAATAAGATGCACCATTGAAAGCTTTAGTTAGTGCCTATACTATTGTGATCAGTAGTGATTTTTGAAAAGAGATGACAATGATGCATCTGGAAGATGAGTACCTTCTTATGATTCGAGAAGATGTTGAGTCAAATTTGTTTAAGGATTTTAGCTTTAATGATGATGGATTCATAGTTTACTAGGATAGAATTTGTGTGCCTAGTAATACAAATTTGACAAAAGTGATTTTGAATGAAGCATACTACAATAAGTATACTATTCACTTGTGAGCTACGAAGATGTACTAAGATGTGAAGTGTTATTGATAGTGGCCACGAATGAAGAGGGATGTGATTGAGTTTGTAGCAAGGTACATGACTTGTCAGAAAGTGAAGATCGAGCATCATAGGTCAATTGGGACACTACAGCCACTAGAGATACCTAAGTGGAAATGGAATAGTATTTTTATAGATTTCATCTCCAGATTGCCAAGAACTCAATTAGGGCATGATGTTATTTTGGTGATTGTAGATTAATTGATGAAGTCAACTCACTTTCTAGCTATCAGGATCAGTGATTCTCTTGAGAAGTTAATTGAGATCTATATCTGTGAATTGTGTGTTTGCATGGAGTGCCTAAGGATATAGTCTTTGATCAAGACCCAAGATTCACATCTAGGTTTTGGGGAGCGTTACAGAGAGCCATGAGTACTACATTAAAGTTTAGTACCGCTTACCATCCTTAGACTGATGGGCAAACTGATCGAACTATTCAGACTCTAGAGGATATGCTTTGATTGTGTGTGCTAGAGTTGCATGGTAGCTGGGATAACTACTTACCATTGGCTGAGTTTGTATATAATAATAGCTATCATTCCAGTATTCAGATGGCACCACATGAAGCTCTATATGGAAGAAAGTGTATATAGCCATTATGTTGGACTGAGCTGAGTGAAAAAAACATAGTAGGACCTAATGTTGTGGACCAGACTACTCAAAAGATCGAGTTGATATAACAGAAGCTGTTGATAACTTAAAGTAGGCAAAAGAGTTATGCTGGTCGAAGAAGAAGACCATTAGAGTTTCTGGTAGGTGATCATATGTTTCTAAAAGTTACGCCAATAATGAGAATTAGGAGGTCAATTAGAGCCAAGAAATTGACTCCTAGATTCATGGGTCTGTTTAAAGTTTTAGGGAGAATCAGGCCTGTTTCATATCAAATTGCCTTACCTCCATAATTATCTGGAATTTATAATATATTTCACATGTCTCAACTCAAGAAATACCAGCCAGATCCTTCCTATGTGATTGATCTTGAAGAGGTGGAGTTACAAGAGAATATGATATATAGAGCATAACCAAAGTGGATAGTAGATGTAAAGGATAAGTAGCTGAGAAATAAAACTATTTTGCTAGTGAAAGTGTTTTGGAAGGATATGACTCCTAGTGATGCGACCTAGGAGACAAAAGCTAAGATGAGGTAGTTATATCCTCAGTTGTTCCCTTAGGTATGTGTGTATCAATGATTGTTTTAATTTTGGGGGCAAAATTCTTAAAAGGAGGGAAGAACTATAACATCCTAAATTTCTAATCCTGTATTAATGATTGATTATAAGTTGAATTAGTAATTTAATATGGGATTAGGGTTTTGTAAAATGAAGTAATATTTTAACCTATTGGGATGATATATAAACATATGTGAGCAGAAGAGCGGATTCCTGAAGCAAAGTGTGTGAGCATAGTAAGGATTTCCCTCACTATGTCACACGCCACGATGGGGGATAGATTCACCACGGTGTATGGTACAGAACTTTACTTAATAAGGACGTGTCTAGCTCATGAAAGATAAAAGGGAGAACAATAGGGAGTGGTTCAAGCATAGAGAAAAGTAGGGGATGTGCTAGGGCAAGCAAAATTAGAAGCAAGGAGGACATTTTTGACTTATAACTTATAAGGTAAGTCTCGTACTACCTTAATATCTGATTCTACCTTATTTTCTCTTAGTTTTAACTACTGAGAGATTGAATTCAAGAGTTTTAAGGAGTTGATTTCTTATTCTATAGTAATAGAAAGGTTCTTCGAAACTAAACTAATACTTTGTGACTGATCTGAGTTGGAACGATAAAGCGTTGAAGCTGTAAGCAAGATTTTCACTAATCTAGAGAGAGAGTAGTTAGATAAATTTAGCTAGAAAAGGTTAAAGTTTGTAATGAGGGGTAATTAGTGGTAACACGCGTAATCAAGTATAAATTGTGGAAATGATAGTGATTGGGAGGTTAATTGTGATATATAGTACTTTTTGTCAATAGTGAAATTGACTTTGAATGTCAATTTTATGTAGATTCTAGTATGTGACAGGTAGATAAGCGAAAAGAGATTCGAGTAAGGAAGTTACATGGGTAAAGCTTTCTATCGGACAGAAGGGTTAAGGTAACCATATAGTTTATTATGTTTATTAACTGTTATAAATATGTAGAAGTAAATATAAAATGAGAAAATTGATGTTTTATGAGTTTTATGCATGATTTGTTATTGAAAATGGTTTTAGTAGGAACATTGGTTTGTGAAATTAAATTTGAAAGCTTAATTGATTTAAATTGATATATGTATATGTTATGACATTGTATACTATGGAAATATGAAGGAAAGTAGTGATAATTGTGAAAAGAGCATGATCATAGGGGGTGGGAGTTCACCTAGGATATATAAGGATGTATGTGTGTGGAGATGTGTGAAAAATCTATATAGTCAGGCTAGTACCATGGGACATCTAGTGCATCATTATATGGGCTATTACCATGGGTAATCCGATATAGCATCTTATGGAATTATTACTATGGGACATCAGGCCAGTCTAGCAACTCTCTAGTGCCCATTAGGGTGGAGTTAGAAGTCAATGATACCTCTATCACAAGTGTGTGAAGAGGGAAACCATAGTCTATAGGTTTGTTAGATTACCTTTAGCCGAGTATTTCTACCACTGAAAGTGTGCTCAGGTTAACAAGTGCTTGATCCAGGAGAGCCTATAGTTTCATGTCGGGGAGCTTTGAAGATTCGGTGGCTAGATGATCATGCTAGTGTTTATCTATAACATCCTATATTTTTTAATCCCAAGTTTAATAGTTAATCGAGGGAGGATGGTAATTAATGTGGGATTAGAGATTTGGATGATTTTTTGATGATTTAATTTCTTGGCACATTGTATGAGCAGATACAGGCGAGAGGAGTGCGTTTCGAGTCGAAGCAAGTGCATATGGTAAGAATAAATCTCATTGTGCCATGCGCTGGAGCTTGTGCTTCATATGTTGTGGGTACGTAGACTAGAAAATCAATTCTTAAGTCATGAAATGGGGTGATTTTTAGAAGTAAAAATTTGAGAAACATACGAGAAAGGAGAGGTAAAGGGCCAAGAAGCTAAGTCAAGCCATTTTAGGTCATTAGAAGGTGATTCGCATTAATAACTTGTCGGGTAAGCTACGTATAACTCTTACCTTCCCTTTTACACAAAATTCTCAAAAAATAAGTTATAGGAAAATTGAATCGATGGAATTTAAAGGGTTTGATTTTTGCTCAATAGTAATAAAAAGGTTCTCGAGAGTTAAATTAGAGCTTTACAACTGGTTTAAAATTGAACGGTAGACCTTTAAACCCGTAGGCTCAATTTTAGCCCTTAGAGTGAGAAAGTTAGGACAAAAATTTGATTTGAGTAAAATAAGATCGGTTAAGGTGATGTAAAGTAGTAATTGGGCAGTAATAGACCTAGAATGGATTAATGGAAAAGAATTTACAGATGAATATAGCCCTAAGTAATAGAAATGAGTTTTTGGTCAAAATGGACCAAATGACTAAAACTTGTCAAATGTGTTCAAATTAACATATTGGATGCGTGAATAGAGAAGGGAAGCTTAAAATAAGCTTGTGTAATAGTTGAAATCCATGGTAACCTTTCTTGTGATAGAAGGGTTGAGGTAACCGAATAACTTCCTTTATTTAATTGTTTATTGTAATTGTATGTTAGTATCCTATGTAATGCGTAAAATAGTTTTAAACTGAGCATGTTTTATAATATTGTGTGATTATTGTGTGAAATGACTTTTAATTGAAATAAAGCATTGAAATGTGTGATTTCAAATGGAATGTACTTTGTGCATGCGTGTGTGTGTGTTATGTTTGAGAAGTGAGTAAAATGATAAATAGGAAACTTAAATGGTTTGAAA